TTAGAAAACACTGTTGTTAAAACAGACTCTTAACTATACAAAACTGAGGGTTGCTAGAGGTCGGGGTGTGGGATAGGCTAAATGGATGGTGGGGATTAAGGAAGGTATTTGTGATGAGCACAGGGTGTTTTAAGTGATACATCAAATTATACAGTTGAAACTAGAAAAAGAAAAAAATAGATTAAGAATCCAAGATCTGGGAAGCCTAGGTGGCCCTGTTGGTTAAGCATCTGACTCTTGAATTCAGATCAGGTCATGATCGTGGGGTTGTGGGATGGAGCCCCACATCAGGCTCATGACTGAGCATTACCCCTCTTGTGTACTCACTCTATTAAAAAACAGTAATCTATGATCTATCAAGATTCTTATTTAAATTCTTACCAATAACATCTTTCTTTTGGGGGAAAAAAACAAACACACTGTGACTCACACCCTTCCCTCCATTAAAATGCCCTTCTTCCCAAATGATAGCTCCATTTCAAATGTTATTTCCTTCTCTAAGTGTCCCTTGCTTCTTTAGCTGATATCCATTCCTTCATACTCCCAGAAGCCTTTATCAATCGCTCTTCATGAAGTTTCACCCTTCATAACTTGGTATTTAGATTTCCACCTCAGTATTTTGAGTAAAGTGAAAACAATAGGAAGTAAGCAGAGGATGAAACAGGAAACGAATAACGTAAAGGCTCTCTGGAAAAGCCCTATGGTAGTGGTTCTCAAGCCTGTCTGTATATTGGAATCAACTGGGTGACTTAAAAAAAAAAAAAATTCTGAAGCCCCAAAGCACAGATCCTGGGTGCAGCTTGGGCATGGAGAATTTTCAGAGTTTTCAACAGGATTCTGATACGTAGCCAAGGTCAAGAACCACTGCTCCATGAGAAATTAAAAAAGGGACTTAAGAGAATAAAGAATTTTTTAATTTTTTAGATTTTTGAGAGAGAGTGCGTGCGCACCAACAAGGGAGGGACATAGAATCTGAAGCAGGCCCCAGGCTCTGAGCAGTCAGCACAGAACCTGATGCAGGGCTTGAATTCACAAACCCTGAGAGATCATGACCTGAGCCAAAGTAGGATGCTTAACCAGCTGAGCCACCTAGGCACCCTGAGAATAAAAAAATTTTTTAAAGGGAGTAAATCTGGTAAAAATTAGTAGAGATGACTCAGACAGCCAATGGTCCTGGAAAAAGGTTTAGAAGGCAAGGAATTCCGTGGCATGTGGCAGAATCAAACAAATGGCTTACGGTTGGCTCTGGGCTGCAGCTGGAGGAGAAGTGGGCTAGAAAAGAATGGGTACAGGAAACCCTAGAATGAGAACAAAGACCAAGGGGTGGAAAGGAAAGAAAGGTCAAGTGAATTCAAAGAGGCAATTCTGAAAAAGATGCTCTTAGTTGGGAAACTTTCAAAAATGACAGAAGCCAATGTGTGGCAACAATGGTGTGTTGTAGAATTGGGAAATGAACATTACCAGCGCAGAGAAGTTTTGAAATCAGGACTACCCTGGTTGTCACCAATGAGGAAAGTTCATGTCAGCAGCTGGAGTCATCAAGGAAATCTTGGAGGTCTAAGATGACAGCACAATTGAGAAGACTTATAGGTGGTATATCTAGGAATGAGGAAGTGTTTGTGGAGGGACTGTGATGAAGAGCATTAACACCTGTACACAGGAAGCAGCTAATCTCAGGCAGATTAGAAAAAAAGTTCTTGCAGTTTAGAAAACCAGGCATGTATTTTTAAGATATTTCTGTTGGTAACTGCAATAAACTCATAAACCAGATTCTTCATCAGTAAGTACCAAATACTTTAAAAATGCACCAAATACAAAGCCAAATAAACTCTAAAATAAACTGGTGCCCATAGTAAGTGATGGAGCAAGAACATGAAATCGCCATTACTCCTTCATACAGCCATGTATGAAGGTTTTTTGTTTTCTTTTGTTTTTAAAGATCAGTGCTTCTCCAAATTCTGATCCTTTCCTTGATTCCCGTGTGCTAGTTCAAAAACCTGAATGTCTGTAAGAGGAGAAAACACTACCTGTACACAAAACTTAAATACCATCAGAAACACCAGTTCTCAAGCTCACTAAGCCCTTTAAAGTGCACATACTACTGTAAATATTATGGCTGACCAACATTACAGTACAACTGCACTACTGTAATTACAAGGAAATGTATACACAAAAACACCTACTGTATCACTGAATCAGTAATCAAGTTCAACCAAGTGGTTAAGGTCATTTTCAGTTTAATAATTGAAACTCGTTATCCCAGTAATGAAGCAAAGAAGTTGCATTTTTATAAGGAACAAACACCCTGTTAATTCCCCATACCTACCTGTACCAGGGAATGCAAAAGTATGTACAAAGAAATGTATAGGAAAAATGCATCATGACACTGGTATTAGAAGCGAAGTAGTTCAAATTACGGTCCCAAGCCACTATGACAAAATGTTTACATCACTACATACAAGAGAAAAATGAAGTAGCACACAAAATAGGTAAAAATTTACTACAATACCTTAAATTTGACACATCAGTCTTATTTCTAAGTTACTCTGAGTTATTAAACTCAGAGTAAAAGTGGTTTATTGATCTGTTTACAACATTCTAAAGACAAAAACTGAAACCGTTTTGTTCGGACATAGGAAAAAGCAATAGAAAGCACTTAGTCCACTGCCTACTACATGGTAGGTACTCAGCAATGACAGTTTCCAAGCTCACTGGCCTTTCCTTCCCCACCACAAATACGGGTTCTAATACCTTTTAAAGAGTAGCCACTGAAAATTCTCATATCGAGACAATAAGCAAAACAGTGCGTTCAATGTCCATCACCAATGAGACACTGGATTATCAAAATTAATATATGTTAATTTCATACACATGATTAAGTCAGGTTTAACGGACAATGATGAACCAAAAGGAAAAACCGAGAAGGGTGCACAGGAAGGACTGAAAGAGAACACAATGGCAGTTAGTGTGAAGAGCAAATAAATTCAAGCACGACGTCTATCATGGAACACGGATCCCATACTAATATGCTAGGATGACACACAGCTATGATGATTCTAGAACCTATGTTCAGGAGCTGCCAAGATGCATTCACTCCCACAGTTCCAATGATTCTCCTGGGCAACCAGTGGAAGTCACCTTCGCCACCCCCATGAGCTGCTAGCCCTAAAGACTGAGATGCCAACAGTGGCCAGTCTGAGAGAGATAACGTATCCAGGGTTCAGCAGCAGATCCTACTAGGAGTGGCCCTCAAATGGTCTTCAGTTTCCTGTCTCTTCAGGGTGATCCTTGGTACCTCAGAAAAATTTACTCTCCCAGGTAAACACAAAAAGATCTTCCAAACAGCGTCCCTGTGGAATCCTCCACAGTATTGGTGCTCTGCAGTTCTTTCAAAGAACAGCTCCTTTGATTGACTGAGTCAAACCGCTCCAAGGTTAGGTATAAAAGAGCCGGTGTAAGGGCGCCTGGGTGGCTCAGTCGGGTAAGCATCCAACTCTTGATTTTGGCTCAGATCATCATCTCACCGTCCTGAGACCAAGCCCTTGGTCTGGCTCCATGCTGGGCAAGGAGCCCGCTTAAGATCCTCTTCCCCTCGCTTCCTCCCCCACTAGCACACTCACTCTCAAATATAAAACAACCTGGGTGCACCAACTCAGGTTTCACCCCTCTACCTGGTCATCTTGGACACATTTTGCCGTGTCCTGATTCTCCCTGGCCTTGGTGATTGTTTCTCCCTCCTTTAAATAGTCTGACTTGGTGCTGCAGTTAGACCCGACTGTTGCCCGTCCATCTGCCTCTGAATTCCAGGGTTGTTAGCACTGAACTCAAGAATATTCCTAATAGACCTCTCTCTCTCTCTCTCTCTCTCTCTCTCTCTCATGTTGCCAAGAACAAAAACTCCACTCTTTGTGTTGCACAAGAACTAAAAACCCACGGTCAGGCCAGGAAAAGTGCAGAGCTCCTTGTTACAACTATACATGTTAAGTTGAAATAGTGGATTCTGGGCTAAAAATCATAGTTTCCTATTTTGTCAAGGTGATTTAGGATGAAAGTTGCCAGGACTAAGTTCCCATTATTTTGTATGATCGGGATAAACTGCCCAGTTTTTCATATTAACAGATTTACATTATGGGGGACAAAACACTCATTGTTTATTCACTTACTCAAAAATACTTGAGAGCCCAGCACTGTGCTAGATCCTGAAAATACAGTGAACGAAATAAAATCCACCCCATGTGGTCAGAAGAACATCTACATTGTGATATTTATCTCAAAATAATCTAGCATACTTTAAGTATTTAATGGCAAAACATACTTAGTAAGCTGAAACACATGGGAAATAAATACACCGTAAGAGACAACATAGGAATTCTTGATCACTTAAATATTTTTACAAATTGTCAACATGTAGTACTTTTAAGCAATATTGGGCACTGAATTATTTGCTGTTCCCTGAAAAGTGCTAGTGTTTTAAAATTGCTATCACCATGCATATGCAGATCCCATAAAAATGTACTAATAGCTTGAAAAGAACGGCTTTTCAGGGTTGAGAGTAATAAAATTCTGTACAGCAACATTTTCAGGCTAAGAATGAAAAAACAAAGCACAGACTTCAAAAGTAGTATATTGTACTATAAATACAGTATCAAAAATATTAGCCTTTCTAGTACATAAAAGATAATTTCTGGTTTCCAAGCTTAACTGACAGTTTCTGTATAAGGAACATGTAAACATATATGAACAATTTTCTTACCAAAATGGAGCCCAGAATATGTACAAACATGGGCGGCGGGGGGGGGGGGGGGGGGTTCATCCTTGATTTTAACATGCATGTGCACAAACAGACATACATACTCAGGAGTAATAGACATAGACAAAAAAAGTTACATTTAGCAAAGGCAGAAAAGGATACAAAAAAATCCTGCTAGGCCCTTTATCTGCTTGACAAACAATGGTTACCAAAGTTACCAAAGTAACAGAAAAGGACACAAAAACCACACTTCAGACAAACTGCTTGTCAGGATTAGGACTGGAGTTGACAAACAGGTTTAATCCACTTCCTCAAAGGTCATACTGTCAAGGTGAAGGATGAACATCTTCCACTACTGAATTAGGCTGGCTGTCATTCTCAGGCGGCGGCCGCTGCTCCTCCTCACCCTCCCCCTCCAAAGGGGTCACTTTGTCAGACCCTCTTACAGGAGAAAGTTCATTGCCTGTCTCCTCTTCAGCAGGGGACAGGGCACCGGACAATTCATTCGACATGAGAACTTGCAAAGATTCTGTTCCATCTTCAACATCTACCTGAATACCCAAAGCTTTAAGAATGTCACATTTGCACATGGGGCACGTCCCATGGGTCAGAATCCAAGGGTCGATGCAATTCTTGTGGAAAAAGTGTTTACAGGTGAGAATACGAACTGTATCATTAGCTTTATAGAGTTCAAAGCAAACTACGCAGCTATCTGCATTTGGGCTGATTTCCTCATCCCCCTCTTTGAGAACCCGAAGCTGGAGCTGGCCAAAGGCTTTCTTGAGATCAGTTGTTAACCGCTGCCACCTCCGGTTCTGAATCCTTGCTATCCAAAGTCTCCGAATATGATAAAAGATGACATATGCTAAAGTAGCAGTTGTGACGATCACAAAAGAGACAAAATAATGATTCATCCAGATGATGTGTTTTCTCCCCACCTCAACTGTGACTGTAACGTGAACTCCCTTCTGAATTAAATGTAAAATCTCCATGCCCTTTAGGTTACCAATCATCACCACAACGATATCTTCAAATGCCTGGTGCGACATGGGAAAGACCTGATTGCCAGTTCCTGGGAAGTTGTAGATGATCACTCCACTGGCTCCGCGCTCAAGGGCCACCTTAATTTTCTGCGTGAAGGTACATCCTCCTCGTTCAACAAGTGCGAGCCAGGTATCGGTGTTCTTCAACCTGGTGAAACCGGTATTGGGATTACATGCGCTTTGAGCTTTTCCATCCGGCGGCACGAGAACTCCTGCCACTCTCTTCAAAGCAGAGCTTCTCCCAAACACTCCAGTTTCCCCCAACTCTGACAGCATCCGATTCCCAACGTGAAATGAGATGTTCATGTAAGCGGTCCAAACAGCACTGGCTCTGCAGCAGTTCTGACTAAGCAGCCAAAGAAAACTGAATTTCATGAGCCAGGAAGATGCAGTGTTGTTTCTGCAAGTGCTAATTTTGAGTCGATTCATCTCTCTCCCCACCTACCGACTGAAAAACCGACCCAACAAAAAGGTGTAGCTTCCACATCTGTGGACAATCAGTCCAAAATAATAAAATGAGAAAAATCTTCGGGGTAAAAACAAGTTCCAAGGTCTTCCAGCATATTTTAGTAAGAAATTCTTAGAGGTCTTAGAAGGTTCAGATGTTTTATTAGAGAGGAAGAGAAACACTTTAGATTGAAAAAAAAAAATCCCAGTCCCCCTAATGTAACTCCAGACACTGTTTACACTTGGGTGATGTGATTATGACATAAAAGATAACACAGCCAATTAGATAAGAGCTTTGAGTCTGCTGTCAACTTATTGGCTTGAAAGTTTCTAGCCAATGATTTAGAGGTTGTAAAATCAATTCAGTCCCTAAGCTACATGTTAACAGGTATCATGTTAATCTAAAAATTAAATATAAAATTCATACAATACACTGAAAGCATATGCAAGAAAGTCACAGCATTAACATTCTTCACAATAAATCAAGGAAACACGGAACAAAGTGGCAAGTTTTAATTAGAAATTAGCACTAAGAACAATTATGTGGTGAAAGCAGTGAACGCTAATACCATTTTCCACTCACATTTGACCACAGTGCAAAATTTTTGTTTATCATATAAAGCACTGTACTAAGTTTATTTAATAATTGCTTGCTCAGGCCTGTTGGTTTGATTCGGTTTTGATTTTTAAAAGGAGGGTACCCTGTCAGATTACTTTAGCCTCGCTCCCTCACTCTTCACTATCCATGGGGGTGACAGCAGTAAAGAACATTAATCTCTCTTCTCTGCAGACCTTGACATCTGTTACTGATCTAACAATATTCTGAGGGAGGAGAGGAAGAGTGGAAGGGGAAAAAATTCTGTTTAGGGGTCTTAGCATAATTCATTTTAAACAAAAAGCAACTATTGATTTTAATAAGAAAAACATCAAGGTCCCCATTTAGATCAACACCAACAGCAGTGTTAAAAGGTCACAGATGATTTGAATAAAATATTTGCTAAAATCAAACATCCCTGATGGAAACTGCCCATCTCTGCACTCACATACACTATTTTTGCTACCCTTCTATCAACGGCACAAAAGGACTTGATAGCAAAGTGACTTGTGAACTAAGAAACATGGACAGGCCCCGGTGTAGGGGCATACACTTTCTTGAGGGTATCTCTCAGCAGTTCTTATCCACTAGCTAGGAAACCAAGAATTTTTTTTTTGTACCTTGAACACAAATGCCTGTCCTTACAACAGAGGATGCGGAGATACAGCTTTGGTTGGGTCTCACCAGGACTAAAGGACTACTACTTCTAATGAAATGTGAGTCAACATAACTTGAGGGAGGAGAGGAGGAGAACGGGGTCCTGCAGACCCAACCAAAGTGGCATAAAAACAAATATCACGGTGTAAACTTCAGCTCCCAATGGTCAATTTTCTTTTCCAAAAACCATTAATCTGATTGTATTTCCATAGAACCCACTCTTCAAAGTGTGTAGTACAGAGTGTGTACATTCATAAAGTGCCAAAGTTGGATATCAATGGTTTAGCATTTCATCCAGAGATTTTAGTCAAACACAAAACCCAAGTCTTTCAGTCTCTCATTGTTACACAGAAACATTTGTGTTTATCTACTCAAGAAGAAAGGCAAAAGATACAATTTGTAAAGGCAGCTGAACAAAATTTCAGCTCCACTGGAGATCTATGTCAAAATGCCCAAACAGAAATACGCTCACCAACGTTTTAAGAAAACAAAAGCATTGACTAAGGTTAATTCTAGAAGGGAAATCTGCTACCAGAGCGAATTCACTAGGCTAGGATAAATAGGCTCAGTCAAACAAAAGTAGCATTTTCTGTGATGCTGCCCTTAAATGAGGCCTATAAGAATTTAAAATATCTTAGTTACAAAATCAGAGGTGCTAACATCTAATTATTTAGAATACATGATTTACTAAGTGCCTTTGGAAACCAGAGCTCCTATTAATTAATCATGGAGACTTAAATCAAGCTCTAATTATATAATTATTTTATTATTTTTTTTTTTTAACATAGGCTCCATGCCCAACTTAGGGCCTGAACTCACGACCCTGAGATCAAGAGTTGCATGCTCTACTGACTGAGCCATCCAGGTGCCCCTGTAATGAAATCTAATAGAGGTTTTAGGTATCAAAAACAGAAATAGTAAAATGAATCTAAAAAAGAAACTTTAAAATATCATGCTTAATTCTCTGTAGCCTCAACACCACAATCATTTTAATTTGAAGATAAAACTACTTTGCTTTTAATATATGCTAATGTTCTTATTTGGATAAAGGCAAAAAAGTAACAAGTTAATAGAACAACAAGTTCAAATAGCTGGGCATGATATGGAGTTTTATTTTAAAAACACAAATTTCATCCTCGTTAGTGCTTAGGTAGAGAAGATGAAGTGGAGTTTTCTCTCTACATAAAGTGCTAAATGAAAATTCACTTAATTTTAGTCTTTGGAAAGACTGGGTTACATCTTCAGAAGACTGGGTTTAACTTTTCAGAATGTCACACTTGCACATGGGACATGTCCTATGTGCTAAAAGCCAGGGGTCAATGCATGTCTTATGGAAAAAATGTTTGCAGGTTAAAATACGTACTACATCTTGGGGTTTGTATATGTCAAAGCAAACAACACAACTGTCTTCATTTGGATCTAGTTCCTTATCCCCTTCCTTGAGCACTCGCAGCTGAAGCTGACCAATAGCTTTCTTCACATCTGCTTTGATCTGTCTTCGCCTCCTGGTGGAAGAATTGGGTGCTCTAGGTCTCCAGGCACAGTATAAGAAAAGGTAGGCAACGGTGGCAGCCAGGAAGGTAAAGAGAGACATGACATAATGGCTCAGCCACGGCATGTGCATTCTCCCCACCTCGATGATGATTGTCACGTAGACTCCTTTCTGAATCAAGTGCAAAAGTTCCATGCCTTTCAAGTTGCCTATCATTACTGCGACTATATTTTCCGTTCCCTGGTGAGACATGGGAAATACTTTGTTGCCCATACCTGGATAGTTATAGATGATCACCCCATTTGCTCCCTTCTCTGCAGCCACATTGATTTTGTGAGTGAAAGTACAGCCTCCCCGTTCAATGAGGGCCAACCAAGAGTCTGCTTGTTCAGGTCTGCTGAAGTTGGTCATAGGATTACAAGCATTCTGATTCCATCCTTCTGGAAGTACCACTGCACCAGACACCCTTTCCAAAGGAGAATGATTCCCAAACACTCCACTCTCTCCTAATTCAGATATAATCCGATTTCCCACCTGAAATGTTATATTCAGGTGGGCTGTCCAAATGGCTTTTCCTTTCGAGTCAGGGAGGCTAAGTAGTAGAAAGATGGTAAGCCTCAACAGTCGAGATGAAACAGAACTATGGGCTGAAGGGATAATTCTAAGTAGGCTCATTCCTCCATTTGCCTCTTAACTGACAAACAAAAAACAAAACCTCAGTTGTAAAACAAAGCAAAGAAGCTAACTTCAATTGTTGGCAGCAGAGAATTCAAGCACATCAATGGGAAAAGGTCTGTGTCGATCAAAGGCAGTTTCCTCCTTCCAGCATTTTTATTTTTGGTAGATTTTCTTCTAATGAAACAGAACAAGAGTTGTTAGCAGTACAATGTGATCTCAAGCAAATTATGACTTCCTTGGGGGAGGGGGGTGGGCTATTGTGACATCAGAGGTAGTTAAGCCAATCCAGGAGTTGATATTAGTGCCCTGCATGCTGAAATCCTACTGGCCAAAAAGCCACCAAGCCATGACTCATGTTATATAACAATTTGAAAGAACTCTAAAGCAATCAACAGGGAAGTTTTTGTTTTTAGGCCTGGAGTTTCTTTCCTAGGTCTGGACAGAGTGAAAACCTGACTAATACCACTTTCTATTCACTGTTGTTCTGTTAAGCAAAGTAGAAATCACCCATGGATATGTGTGTGGCTGGCCAGTCACCAGCTCTCAAGCAAGGCTCCATGCTACCCAATATGCTCATCTATGGGCAGCGGGAACAAACCATTCTCACTCTCTTTCAATATTCAGTGCTTATCTCAGACTCAACATGAGGACAATAAACGTTGTAAGCCTGATACATTTCCAACTCACATGGCAAATTCAACTTTTCACTAAAATAGCTACTGAGAACCTATGTGCTAGGCAAACACTAAGCATAGGCAAACACTAAGCATATATCATACATCAGAGACAAAAACAGACATGCACCTACAGTGTGGAGCTTAACTGTCTAATGAGGACAGATATACATATATGTATGTATATATATGTTTATTTTTGAGACAGAGAAATACATATATGTATATTTTTAACTTATTTTTGAGAGAGTGATTGAGCCCACATGAACAGGGAAGGGCAGAGAGATGGAGACAGAGTCCAATGCAGGCTCCTGGCTCTGAGCTATCAGCACAGAGCCTGATGCAGGGCTGGAATCCATAAACCAGGAGATCATGACCTGAACTGAAGTCGGGCACCTAAAGTGAGCCACTCAGGTGCCCCTAGTAAGGACAGATTTTAAACACACACATACGCAAATGTGTAGCTGCAAGCTGAGCTAAGGTTGCTTTCTGAAAGGAAAACATTCTATCAAAAGAATATAAAAGGGGTCATAATTTCACTAGAGATCTAAGGCATTGCTCCCTAAGGAAGTGGTACTTAGCACCACTAAGACTTGAAAGATAAATAAGAATTACCTAAGCCAAGAATAATATTTCAGGCAGAGGAAATAGCAGTTTCAGGACCCTAACACAGGAAAGAACATCGTTAAGTGAAAGGATCTGAAGCAGTGTGTGTTTAGCAAAACCAGAGAAGAGGGGGCAAAAGGTAAATGAGGGAGGAAGGCAAACAGCGATCTGTGTTCGGGGTTGTAAATGTCACACCAAGGATTTTGGATTAGTCCCAAGAACCAAAGAAACACGACAAAGGGTTTCAAGCTGTGGAGGTAGACTAAGAAACATTTCAAGATGATGACTTGTTGACAAGCACACATTGGCTGCCTTATGTGGGGAGTGGGTTGGCAGAGGAGCAGAGTGGTGAGGGGTGCTTTGGTAGACAGCGGCTTGCACTCCTGAAATAGCAGTAAAGACATAGAGGCACAGACAAGTCAGAGTCACTTCAAAGGTTGAATTAACAGATCTGGTCAGAAGAAGGGTAGTAGCAGGTAGAGGAAGGGATGGCC